CGTCGCCGTCGCCGTCGCCACCGTCACCGCCACCGCCACCGCCACCGCCACCGCTTGCTCCTGTGACGTCACTGACGCCGCCGCGACGACCGCCAATGTCGCCGTCGCTGTCGCTGCTGACGCCGCAAAGTGGAATGACTTCCCGTTTGGGCGCTTACGTCTCGCGTTTATATTGGCCTGGCGAATTGCGGCCCGCAGGTTCATGATCGAGGCCACCCGAGGGTACCGTCTTACCACGAAATACTGCGGACTCGCTTGGACACTTGACCCAGAAGCGAGAGCGAAGCAACCCATTGATGCAATCGCGCGGACTGCTCACAGCCGCATACGCTCTGTTTTTGCTCAATCTGCACTTTTACCTCTCAAGTTTGTTTCGCCGAGTTTACGCGATAAGAGACTGTGGTTGGCTTACTAGAATTAAGGAATCAGAGACAAGATGAAGTAGAAACTTAGTAGAGATTTAAAAAAACTCTAGCATGCTTTTCTCTCTAGCACGCTAACTCTTGCACGATTTTGAAAAAAAATACAATTGTGCGAAGTATGAGGTTAAAACACACCAAGAAGCATTCCAGAAAATCTGCCAGAAAAACTCAGGACGTACCCATTTAAAACACCCGAGAAGTAGGAACAAGTGTTAAATAACATTTCTTTTGTGCCGACAAATTAAAAGAGGAAATGCAGGAAGGAAAGGAATATTCATCCTTTTCGCAAGAAGACATCAAACAGTGCTTTCTTTTCCATTCATTGAAGGTAAACTTGTTACTTCCTTGAAAGACAGATGAGGAAATGATTTGGCAATAAGTGGAAAGTATAGAACTCCTGAAATATGGAACATGATTCACGAGAAAGTTAAATATAATGCCGTTCTTTATGGGGAATCATTAGTAATGTCGATCGTTGTGCATTCATACACAGTGCTAGTGGACTCGTACAAGGCTTTTTGGCCAAAAAATCTATAATATTGGTCCTTAACTCCTTGAAGTAACTTGTTCAGATCTGTGTCCAGAATTTTGGTAATCCTGTGAAGAAGCCATATGAAACTTACAGAAGTCTATCGCTTTGGCAATATCTCTTTAGACTCATAAAATTTTGGTCTCCGGCCTGCTGTGTCATCCGTCAATTATCCTATCAGGCAGAACATGACTCTTCGAAGTAATCCCCAACACAATAACATCCTTAAGAACTACACTCTTTTATCTTCCATGCAACACATAATGTGACGTACCTTTTTAATATATTGATATATTAATGAACGTGTCGTTTAAGACGTTTTTACATTGAGCCAATTTAATTAGTCATTTAGATAGGTTATTAGATGTTTGTATATAATATAATAATAATAATAATAATAATAATAATAATAATAATAATAATAAATGAAACACGAACATTCGATTGGAATGTGTATAATGTAGGTAAAATCGCTGTTTATTCGTTACGTAATAGGCATGCGCTTAATAGATTCCGTTTAAAACATTTCACATTCGAAACTGTTCATTCTTCAATCTAAAACCTTACATTGACTACTATTAACACTCGCGAAAGACGTCTTGCAAAACAACTCCCGCTTCAAAGAACCCAATTAATCTTCATCTCACGCGTAAATCTCTCCATTACGAAAAGAAACGTGACAGTCCTGAATCACAAGAGGAGGGCAGTTGCCCGAAAGTTTCGTAGACATCAGTGTCTGCCAAAGATTTTATCGAACGGCAAACGAAAATGAGCACAATTTACGCGCGCTAAGAATAGCTTTTATTAATTTACGTAACATATTTGGAACTTACTCTATTTGCTTAGTTTCTAATACACTACACATGAATACCAATTTGTAGTGACGCGATGGATCAAAAGCCCTAATACATCCAGAAAACGAAGAAGAAATGTGGTCGACTTATACAGATGTGACTGAAGACCACGACCATATTCTCTATGTAAAATAATGTTTTCGCCTGTCGTAATTAAGTACATTAACCTAGAATGAAATGTTATTCCAATAATGCTTGTATATTAATTCGATATTTTTTATTAAAGAAGGCCATAGATGCACAGAATATTAAATATTAAACGCACGTTTCGAGGATATGTCAGAATATATCTACAATATACAGTATTATTTACATATTATAAAATCACAAAATAAGATAAATAAGTTTTTTTGTACACAAAGGCGATCAATTTTGAAGTGCGTAGAAAAAACACGACCTTGGTCTAATTTGATAAAGAGAGAAAACATTTTAAAAAGTAATATTTCAGTTTTTGATGAATTGTAGTAGAGGTAAGAGGTAACAGGGTATCCAAGCCGATCCGGTGGTCGAGATTGCTAAAGCAGTAGTGATCTCGAGCCGAACGATCGCGTGTTGGAGCCCCGCCTCGGGTTTGGTTGTATTTGTGTTAGTCCATTCAACCACCATCACCACCACATCATTTAATCTAGTTTATAGTTACTCATAACGTTAAAAGCAAGAGTGGTTGCTAATTACTTAGATGTTGATGCGACCTTAAATCACGAAAAAAAAGTATTCATATGAGAAGAAAAAGTATTATGTGGCTTGTCTTATTTTTTATTTTTCTGGAATTGTTTCCGCATAGTTGTTTCAATAGTCAGCAAACAAGAACATCAATTTTTGTTCTAGATTGTCTCTAATTCAAAATTAACATTTAAAAATTATAATTTTACGTTGGCTAAATTTTGGGAAAGGTGTTTTATCGACTGATGATACTTTTTGTTCATTTATTACAGATATTAATTGATTTATTCTAAAAAAGCACTATTAGCTTCTATGATTAATTATTATTAGTAGTAATTTGAAATAGTTCATTATTATTAAAAGTAAATAAATAGTTCACAGAATTTTGGTATTTTAATTATTATATTCCCCTATTCTATGACTATTTTACTTGCATATACTTCTTAGCAGTTGAATACAATAATTAAATGTTGTAAATTACGATAGATGACGGCAAATGAAACACGAAGGGTGAAAAACTATTTTAACGGCCGGAGTCAGTCAAGTAACAGTCCGCCGTCCGTTTCAAACAACAGAAACAAATGAGATAAAAATGTCGCATGGGTACCAAGAAATGGAATTTATTCTTTATACGATATTCTCTTATAAGAAGACGGTATTACTAAAAGTATTGAACGACTGCCCTTCCGATAACACCAACAACAGACGCGGTAGATGTTCGTGAACTGAGGCGATAGCCGATCATCATCTCCAACCGCGCAATTTGCAGCTTTCCGGCCTCATGACGTTCAAATCTATAACAATGGAGGAGCGATCAGTACACAGTGTGCTTTTCTTCTGTCCCTGCAGTGCACGACGCGACGGCCAAGCCGTCGGCGGGGCTGCTGATGTCGGGCAACGTGCTGCTGTACGGCGACTACGACGCGTGCCTGTGGCGCGCGCGCGAGCCGTCGGGCGCCGTGCAGCCGCGCTACTGCCTGGCGCGCCTGCAGCCCGAGCTGGCGGACGCCGCGGCCACGGGCGCGCGCTCCCCGCGCCTCGCCGCCGCCTGGCATCGCTTCCGCTCCCTGGACGTCCTGCGCTCCAACATCGACGACGTGAGTTGCCCGCTTGCGTCACTTTTACGTTCTCGCTTCGGAGTAGAGCGATCTCCGGCGAAAGCAAGAAGTACAGGTGTCCAGAAAGATTCAGAACTAATAACTGTGACAGTATAGTGAGTGAGTATTAGTTCCAGGCGCGTCAACTACTTAGGTCATTAGTCCCGTAAATTTAGTACATATTATATCCTAAGAGTCGATACAGAGAGCCGAGATCGATAAGGCAGTAGTATCATGGCGATCTTGGATCGAAGGATCCATGGATGTATTTGTGATCGTCCCGTCACCCTTTATCATCATCCTATCACTTCATTAAAAAATAATTAATTATTTCCTACGCGAGCAGGAGGCCCCTGAACGTAATGCGACGTGCAGTTGGCTAATTAAAATAAATATCCTACGAGGTGGTAGTATTCCTTTCTGCTCGAATGTGACATACGCGTCCGCCCGTCACGCCGGGCTGCTAGTTTTACTCCTAGAGGTATCTCCCACTCAGCGGGACACGGCCGCAACTGGGACAAACTCTTAACTTTCTGGATGTGCTCCCGAAATGTTTAAAGTGTAGTGCATGTAAGTGTATGAAAGGAGTGAGGAGATAACAAGGATCAGGAAGAGAAGATCGCCCGCAATCTGGGGCCCGATTGTTAAAGAACTGCTGCGAAAGTTTTCAGGAATTGATCGAAAAAAACACATAAAACTACCAATCAGAGCAGCTGGTCAAAAGATTTCTCCTTCACTCAAGAAATTTCAATTTTCTGCGGCTCACTAGAGCAGTTATTGTATGGGCTTCAAAATTAGATTCCCATAGCACCTCGCGAGTGCCACAGGGGAAAATTTCTCGTAGAATAAGAAATGAGATATTACCAGTTTTTACTCTTGTTATTATTACTTTACCAAATCCCTATCCTTACACTTTTCTCTATTTAAACAATTAAAGAAAAGCATTAGCCTTTTTTGACAAAATTTTGAAAGTGTATTAAAAATTTCATATACATATTCTTTAAAATTAAAAGAATGTATTCAAATTCGCATGATCTCAAATTGAGTCTGGTCGATCGAAAATAATTTCTTTAAAAAAATATGTGTGTGCAATTTAGGCGCTAGTTTTGCGCACAAACCAACAGATTTTAATGTTCGAGCTCTGAAATCAATATATACAGTTTAGAGTAGGTATCAAGAAAACGTGCACAGAATACATCACATAGCACGTCACACAGTTTTTAACTGTTTAGACGTAAAATAAAAAACAAAAAACAAAAAACATCTTCATCATCACTGCTATCAACATTATTATCATTAACATCATATCAGCATCTTTAGTGAATTTATTTTTACGTTCACATCTTCTTGTTGTCTGGAACGTCCTACGTTCGAAGGTATGTCGCGGTGGTGGAGAATTTGTCCAAGGTTGGAACGAATATCGTGATTGATCGGCGAAGATTTGGTGACTAAGTGCTGTTTCATAATTTTCTCCTATCAATATCAGGCGGTTTCCGAAGCGGTACCTAAACAATGGTCATCAAACATGTGTCCAAAATGTGAATTTACAAACAAAATTATTCTCACAGTAAGACCATCCGTTCCCATGCTCTGGAACACTGCGCTACAACTGTACTACTGAATATCATTAAAGAGTAATGTCAATAGCACTATTATCGTGCCCTAGTGTGCCACTGCATGCAATGCATGGAAATTAACGGGCATTTTCAACCAACGTTTCTTAAAACAAAACAAAGCAAAAAAGAAAACAAAAACCTCAATTACATATTTATAGGTTCAGTTATGCCTCAATTCCTCTCATTTCACATATTGTCACAAGAGTTCGGGTTTACTCAGTATGAACGTTGTAAGAGTTGTTTTCAGCCATGTGCCCATGAACGTGACTCACATTATGCACTGAAATTTGTTCTTCTATGTCTATCTGTTCATAATACGTTGAGTAATAAACGGTCAAATCCTTCACAACGCATCTCCAAATGTCTCCGTACTTTGCACAACTTAGAGGATATCCTGAGATTGGGCTTCAACAATAATGTATAGCAAAGGGAAACTGCGCCAATAATGTTCAAAATAGATACCTATAATCTCATTCTAATTTTATTTTCTTTCTCGATTCTTCGTTTTATTTTTTATTTTCCTTATTATATTTCTTCACGTTTTCATTTAATTTCTCCTTGCTTTTCTCATTAACTTTTAGTCTATTTTTCCTTCCAATTGTTCTGGAGTACTTTTTTCTCCAGCTTTATCTCCTAGAAATTCCTTTTTATATCCTTTTCACATACCTGAACTCTCGGTTCTCTCGTGATTTCGAGTGTTTTTTTTTAACATATTCGAAACTTACCACCTTCCCTATTGTCGTAAGCATACGAGCAGTACACCACCTGGATGCGTGAATAATCCGAATTTCGTAGAAACGAAGATGACAATGCTCGTTCAGCATGAATGTCAATAATTACATTCTACTTCAATGCCTCTGACAGGGTGGTCCAAGGGTTCTCAACGGTCACAACGATAGCAGAATTTTGATTAGATTAGATTTGATTTGATTTATTTAATCAACGAACAATAAAACTGTGTGTGACGTTTGAGGGAAATATAGCTTGAACGCACGCTTTCTTGAGCTCTCTAATCTCTTCCCAACATTTTTAATATATATAGTTGAATCATGAATAAAAGTTTCAAAAAAAGCGAAGTGACCATTTTGAAACAACTGAAAGGGTACTATTTATTGTTTGTTTTCTTGCAATGTGTTCGTTTCTTGCAATGTTAGTGCAAAAAACATTCTTGTCATCAGCGAATAGAAGTTTTCTTCCATACTCGTATTAGACGTTCATGGATCCCACACAATTTATTTCGTTAGCAAAGCGAAACAAAGAATTGCCGTTATTTGACCACTTACACAGCGAATTTGCCCTTTTTTAACTCCCGTCAAAATACTTTAATGGAAGACCAATGATCTCATATGCCTGCCCCGTATGGAGAGAAGCTTCTCGAAAATCATTTTCAAATCTTCAAGTTCTGCAAAACCGGTACCTTAGATTTAGCAGTAGTTGCATCATGGTATGTCCGCAATTCGCAACTGCAAATAGACTTTCATATAAATGCTGTAAGTGAGCATATTAATCCCCTTACAGCTAATTTCTTTTCCTATCTTCATTCTTCCCCTCCAATCCCAATTTTCAACTTAAAACGAGATCTTCCAACACTTATACCACTTCTTCCCAGGTTGCCGCTCCCATGTCAACATTTCAAAATATTAGATACTTAAACTTTATAATTTATGAAAATTCAGAGATATCAATCACAATGAGACCTATGCCATTCCTTTAAGTATCCTAGGAATAAGCTTAAAAGCGCCATTTTTAAGCAAATTTCAAAAAATATTCTTGTCATGCAAAGCACCTCCAAAACCTAAAATATACATTTCAAATATGCAGTACTTTTAATTCGGTCATATAGCTCGTGGATTTTCAGAGAATTGGCAGAGAATGCAGGCTCATCTTTGATAAAATCACACACTACATTTACGGGACGAATGACCATAGCCGTCGACGCGTCCGGAAACATGAAATACTCAATCAATTGACTAGTTTTTCCTTCTTCTGAATCTAAATCCTGATCATTCAGTATGTGCCTCATAGACTGGAAGTGTTCAACCTATTCCACGATTCAATCGAATTCTAAGAGCTTGCCTATTTCTGAAATTCCGTGGGGCCATAATCATGGAAACAATTGGTTCCGTACAACTAACTTTTGAAACAGACTTACGCTACATACTTTCTCAGTGTTCATACTGGTCGGTTTTCATCAACCAAAATACTCTTCGACAACCGAACTGAGGACCACTCCCGTAAGAGAAGAAAATTCCAACATCGATTTCTGGCAGTCCGACAGTTCCTAAAGTAACCGCCATCTCTTCCACGCTCCATTTCGTCAGTGCGTTGCCCTTTGTCCTAACGTAAGGTAATTACCAACCCACGAGTCTAATTAGTTACCTCTTAGGGCGACGACCGCTTTCCATAATATTAGGGGTATGTCGTGTCTGGTGACTTGGCATTGTAATCTCCAGGAGTCCCCAAGGGGTCTCCAGCATTAACACGTTAAGTGGAAAATCAATTCTTTCCCGTCTCCTTTCTTCTTTACATTCTTCACATTCAAAGAGTACATTAAAACCGGCTCCCGGCTCCTCCACTTTTTCACTTGAGACTACTCCCGCTCTCAACAAGATACTTTGAGCAATATTAGTACATTCAATTCACATACCGACATCCAAGTATTTTTTCCGAGTTAAATGTCTGTTGACTCTAAAAACAAGCGCAACAAAATCCCATTTCGGTACTTTTCACGGTTTGAAATGTAAGCATCAACATTTCTAACTGTCCATACTTTTAGGTTATTTTGTAATTGTTACCTCTCATTAATTAACGGCTACAATTAGTAAAAATAATGATGTTATACAATTCGAAATGTAATTGATTTTAGGTAATTAGTAAAAAACTGTACGAGGTGGATAGAATTCTTTAATGATGTTTGCAGAAACGTGGCTGTGATAATTTTTTTTTTCGATTTTCCTCTTTATAATCACATTTGATGTGGACAAATCCATCACAACGATTCGCACATCGACAATACTCTGAATAGTAATCCTTATCCCAACTGCGCTATACCGGCATAGGTGGGCATCAACTGATGTCACTGTAGTGCCACTGACCAAGTCGTAGAGTTTGTGTTACGTCTGTGGTAGCGTTTTCAACCCTATCTTTAACTTAGGTCGTATTCAGCCGCTTTCTGGAGGAGAATTCTCTCCAGAATTCTAATTTTTCGTGGGTTCTCCGATCAACAACAGGTGAATACCGGAGCAGTACCCTTACAAACAGACCACAGACTGCACGCGAATTTTCCTCCTTTTTCTTTGTTCTTTACTCACCCACACTTACACACACACATGTACTACACTACCAGACTTGTCGGGAGATCAATCGGGGAGCTTACAGTTTATTCCGGCTGGGCCGAGGCTCTGCGGGAGATACCTGGTTGGTGTAAATCCCGCAAGCCGACGTAGGTTGGCGAGGTCGGCGCCGGATGACCTCAGCATTTGACGCGCCCAAAATCATAAAGCAACCAATTTAGCCACCATTCCATTCATTACCATTTATCTCATCATTTCAATTATGAAACCTACCATCCTTTACAGTGTAAAGAAACTGGAAACCTCCAGTGTTGACATCTGCCTGTAATAGGGAAGTCATACATCATACATTATAAAGCCCCTTCCCTATACTAATTACTGGGTATGACATTCATCATCAAAGCGAGTACCGTTTTACAATATATTATATGGATTTGTATTCTGTTCTTCGTCAGATTTTTGTTTCATTTCCTTCTATATTGCCTATAAAAAACGACATGTCCTCCTTACGTCTGGTCTGAAATTATTATTAATTATTATTATTATTATTATTATTATTATTATTATTATTATTATTATTATTATTATTACTATTATTACTCTACTTCATGACTAATGATGTTATGAGTCAGTTGAAAATAAAGTCTACTTCAGGATGCAGCTAACTGCCTAAGGAGAAGATTTAGGGATTGTCGGTGCCTCTACAATATTTTGCGCAAAATTGGGCAGTTCCAAATGAAGCAATGTCTTGCACATCCCGATCTTTTGAATGACCTAGAAGCTTAGCCAGGTTCTTACACAAATTTTGAGGATCAAAATGCTCTGGAACTATGAGGACGACCTGCGCTTTTACCCCCCACACTCGGCGTTTTTCTGCCTCCTTGGTTACGGCGTTTTCATCTCACGTTTTTTCTCCAAATTCCGGATAAAATTATCAGGTTTATTTGCCGCTATCGTGCGATCAATTTGAATTTGTAGATCGTGCAATATTGAACACAGTCCAATAGACGTCACCGGTTTTGGTGAGTGTTCGTACCTCTTAGAGCATGGGTTTGGAACTTTCAGGGTGTTACAGATCTACCCCTGGAGATAACTACACAGCCTTTCGTATCCTTTAATGTAATCGGTCTTTGCTAGAAATGGACAAGCTGAGACAATATAATAAATGGTTTCTACTTGTTCCTAGCAAACGCGGCATTTATCATCTTGGGAAATTTGAGAACCGCTTTATCATAATGTGTTCTCAACGCCTGATCTTGGGCAGCTATTACAAGAGCATCCGACTCGGGCTTCCTATTTCCCCTTTTAAGACACATAAATGATTTATCTTTATTGATGTGCATCAGTCCCATTCGTTTTAGAAATTGTCTATGGGGTGGTTGGTCTCTCCACAATTACTTAACAATTTATGTGTCTTATATTTCATGTTAAGTAGCATTAGATGTTAGCGTTATTAGTGGGTCATCACAATGACCGACTACATATTTCCTCATCCCGACTACTGCATTGTGCCAAAGGCTTCATGCTGTGTGAGGCCTCTTCCTCCTTCCATGCGTGCCAACGTCCTTGTGCATTAAGTTGAGGGTGAACGGCATTGCATTGTATGCGGTTTTCTGCTTTTTTATTATTATTATTATTATTATTATTATTATTATTATTATTATTATTATTATTATTATTATTTGCTCGTTCAAAAATGATTGGTACAACAATTATTTTGCATTCACAGGAAACATCTGATGAACGAACAAATACAGATATTTCAGGAATTCCTCTCCAATATCTATGCATTATTGCCGTCGTCGCGCAGCTTTTGTATTTGCTTAGCAAACCATTCTATGGGTTCATAGGGCGGCACTGTTAGATAACTCCATGAATTCGTTGGTGGAGAAATTCTTACCTCATATGACCTCTTGCATCGCGTCGAATAGGGAAGAGCCGCTAGGAGCAAGATCCGCCGAATATGGAGAATCTGGAGTCTCGTGGAAGCACCATTACTCGTCGACGGTGACCAGACGTCGAAAGAACTCCGATGGATCTGCACAGTATTGTTTAACCATCTGTTGGCTCATCTCCAAACGCTTTGGATTCTGCACAAATTTATTGTATGGTACACCCTTTTTGCACACACATTCATCTTCAAATCCTCATTGATGATGATGTGGAGGGTCTCCGTGGTAGACCTGTTCCTTCTCTAATTCATCAAACTTGATTTGCTTGGTCTTTATTACTAAGTCTTTGACGCGCTGGGTGTTGTTTGGCTAGCGGGCAGTTGCAGGTCGCCCGGTGATTTTCTTTTTCCAGCACAGTCCCTGCTGACTTTGAATTATGATACCCAACGAATTTGATAATGACGTCCCACATCTGACTATTAACCTCTTGAAAATACCTGAATCAGTCACCTCTTCCCTCCAGAGAAACCACACTGTCCACCGTTGCCCACTCTTGCCTGCTTCCATCTCGTCCTTTCAATTTCCCCCAGCTTACTAGCAAACCGGACAATTGCTGTTGCAATAAGCTACATATCGGAAACAGTAACGCGGTGTCTGTAAACAGTAATGTAATCAGTAATCTTCCCGCTTACATCAACACAGTTCAAACTGCTACTTTGCAGAGCTTAGAAGGGGAGTGCCAATCGATATTGAAAACCAACAAAGTATTATTATTATTATTATTATTATTATTATTATTATTATTATTATTATTATTTTGCTTGCGAATGGGCCGACTAGGACCACGCATTTACTGTGGCTCAGTATCATGATCGCGGTGGCAGGTATATGTGACATTAATTGGGGACCAGTATTTAGCAGAGTCCGATTTTTATTCGCCAGGGTTATTAGCCCTGGGAGTATGGAAGATGAAATGATCATGATAATGAGGGATGAAGGGACGACACACTCATACTCGTAAAGACATACACAAATACACCCATGCCCCAGGCGGGACTCGAACCCGAAATCTTCTGGTCCGAAACTACGACACTACTGCCTTCTGATGGGTTGTTGTTGTTGTTATTATTATTATTATTATTATTATTATTATTATTATTGTTGTTGTTGTTGTTGTTGTTGTTGGCGAGGTGGATTAATTGCGAATGTGGCGTGTGAACGCAGCCGGGCCACCGCATCCCGAGGATCAGCGCCGTGCAGTGGGGGCTGTGCGTGCCCGCCGGCTGCTCAGCCGACGACGTGCGCGCGGCGCTGGACCACCGCCTGCAGCCTCTCGCTGCCGCCGCCGGCCTGCGCCTGGCCGTGCGCGTCGCCCCCGACGACTGCCAGACCACGCCCACCTGGTGGCCCACCCCCGCCTTCACCGCCGGCGTGTGAGTAGCGCTTGCGCACGCCGTCGCCGCTCTTCCGGCCTACACACTTCATTGCGGAGCCGGAAAACATTAAGGCTAGCGACACACGAGCGTCGCAAAATGTACCTAGCTGGCGACCGTCAACGATGACAAGCAGGCCACACGAGTACGATCAACCCCGCGCAACGAACGTCATTTGTCTCGTGGCTTTGTACTAGGAAATATGGAGTTAGTGATTTGTGTTACATTAGAATTAAACTTATAAAAGAAAATGAGATGATTGTTTCATCCAATTAATAGCGAGCAGCTTTTGAAGGGAACATTATACATCCTCTTTTAGAATTTACGATACGGTGATTTTTTTTTTAATTTTTCCAAATGTCTAAGCGCTTGTTCAGACAAATGATCTGATCATATAAATGGGAAGATACCAATGTAAGATTATCTATATCACCAGAATTACCTTCGCACTTCATTAATTAATCTTTTAAAATCGTATCTATTTATTTTAGGAAAAAGAAAAAAATGCTCACTGCTTGTTTAACGCGGATCAGCGTACGTATAACGCAGGTCGGCAGTACTCCGTATGCTCTGCACGTTATGAATGCGTAAGATTCTTCAACGTCTGTTAGAAACAACGGACGCATTCTAGGGGCTAACGTCCACTGACTACGCAACGGACGCTATTGGTGGCGGAAGTCACTGCAGAGTACTATTGTGCCGCGACCCGTATATGTTTCTGATGCTACGACGAACGCACTCTAACGCCCGTGATTTTACGCTCGTGTGCCTCTAGTTTAAGAGTCTTTTTATAGAAATATGACCATAAAAATGATCACACTGATAGTAAATGGATGTAAATAAAACATCTGGAATGATGAAAATATTAATGCAAATCTTACAGAGCCATGGGTATGATAGTGTTTTATTAGCAAGGCATTAATATAATAATAACTCCTGTAATGCTAATTTTAGTTCACCAAGCGCATTTAAGGACAATGCATGTAACGTTAATGTTGTATTATGCATATATCACAGAGCAGATTTCGCATGTTCCCTAGATTCTATTTGTTTCCTTTGTATCATTTAACTTAGATTCATTTCATGATCATCAGTCATTCCATTTCTATAGTTTTTATTGTTAGATGCTCTGTTTCAATGCATTGCATCTTCCCGTCTAAAATTTTTTGAACTTCTTTCGTAAAGATTATTATCAGCAATTTCACGTGCACTATTGCGCTTATTTAGACCAATTAAAAAATTTAAAAAAAATACGAATTATGTTAATCCTTAAGAAAAGAATGTGAACAAAAAATAACATTAAGAACGTCAATAAGCATAACGACAACAAACTTACTTTAATTGTTTTTTCCAACTCTCGTCTACTCATATTTCTTGTGTAAGATCCACAGCCATTTTTAAAACAGTTGCCTTAGAGAGTTGTGATCAACTGTGTGGAGGAGCAGTTTTATTCTACTAACAGAGCCACCGAGACTCACTAATGTTAACTACCTTGACATCAGTGATTTAGACAGTGTATTTATTGCTGTACGTATTGTATGAAATGCACAATCCGGTTCGAAACGAAATACCTGGATAAATCTAGTTTTTATTAGAAATAGGTTGAAAGATAGTGTAATGTAGCGAACATATTTCCAAGTATGTTACTCCATTGTATATTCCTATAATATATTAATTGTTGATTCTTGTTTCCAGGTTGATATTTGGAACCCTCCTAATAACGTGCATTGTAGCCACTGTAAAAGATTATCGTCGCGATGAAAAACCAGCCATACTGAGTAAGTAAAAACACCAATTACATCAAAAATTCCACCCACTAATCTCTATAGTAGATACCACAGCTTCTAAGTCTTTTTAGTGCTGTTCATATCTGCATAATTGCCAATTCGAAAAACAATTTTGCTTCTTAATAGTAAGTTTCTGTATTTGTGTATTCATTGTATGCCACGTAAATTGTTTCAAAATCTAACAGTGGGCGAAGAAAACGTTGGTTACGATGTCTGTAAAAATATGGTAAACATCTTTTCTGGAATATACTGTGTATTCAGTGAAACTATCTTGAACTGATTTTGTTTAATTACGATTATGTCTGATCTAGAAATGATGCTGCTATGAATTAAATATGCTGAAAACATTCCACTATTTAACAGAAAGTACAATTATAGCCAATCGGAATCATATGACGTACTATTTGTACATATACTTGGATAGCGCATTCCTATTCGAAAACGAAATACATTTAGAATGAAACAATTTCGCTTTTATATAGAAATACGAATGAAGAATAATGTAGTGTAGCGAGATATTATTTAGGTTCACTATTGGAAGACGCACTATTGTATTTACATACTAACGTTATACTTCAAAGACAGATTTGTTTTGTTTCTCTTCCACACTTGGAGCAAACGTTTGAATTGAAAAGCTCGAAGAAATTCATGACCGATGAATTTCCAGCGAATTTTTAAAAGAGAAATTCTTCCACTGTCGAGGTCATCATCCAAAAGTGACGATATACAGAGAAACATTGAAAACACACGTTTTAAAATATAATCACTATATCCTTAGCATTTAGATATATTTCACAGTGATAAATAATTATAGCAATTCACAAACTTTTTTTTTTTTTTTACGAATATGCCGTTTGGAATTTCGATTGCATAGACACGGGCTATTTGATTACAGCATACTTCTATTCATTCATTTCATACATAGATTCATTAAACACGGTTACTCGTTTCTCTCTTTTCCATTTTAAAAAACGGTTCATACTGTCTTTTGTATGAATCCTTTGATTTTTGAGGAAGTAAAATCTCAATAGCAGCTTCAGCTTCCTCAATTATAATATCTGGAATATCGCACTCCATACTTACGAAACAAATCGCCAAAACCATCCGCTAATTCTAACGCTTTAATCATTGTGTCAGTACTGATAACATCAGAGGCGATAATGTAGAAGAACATCTGCATCTATACGACGAAACCGCATTGTATAAATGATATCTCTCAAAAATTTCAAACATTAAATTGGGAGGTGAGTGTACGACAAATAGTTGTATGCAACTCGGCTCCAATTGAATGATTTTGAACTCCGTTAGTTCACCAACCTCAGCTCCGCCTCGGTTAGTAAACATCTCATTCAAAATCATTCATTATTTGATATTTTCGATTTCCTTTTTCGATGCATAAATAACCATTTCCACTAAAGTGGCGATTTTTCATTCGACCTTTTCTGCTAACTAAATGGGGAGCTTCGCGAGTACGATCTTAATTCAAACGCCCATATTTATTTGAGAACAGTAACAACTACTTTCTTCGATACTAATTTTGCCGAAAGATTACTTCGTCCAAGGAAAATTCAAATTCTGCATAGAGAATTCTAGTATATGACGGTTAGTTACAAATAAATTATGATTATCAATATATTGTTCATTTATTTTTGCATTATTTCCTTAAATTTATAATAGAATATGTTGTCACAGTAATCCAAATAACACAATAATATTTAGGTGACCAAACAAGAACTTTCTGGAATCTTGTATGAAAGTTTTGCCTTTCTCGCTTTCTGAATGACGTTACATAATCCTTCTGTATTGGATGAAAACTGTCTTATGATTTTTGATAAAGCATTTACTTTAATCTTTTACATGTCTAAAAAATAAAGTAATTTTTATCCATTACCAATCAAAATAATATTCCATTGTTAAATACTATCATCAATATGCATGGCAAAATAATGGTAACCAACAAAATGTAAAAAACTTCAATTATGTTGGTGGTCATCCGCATAATTTTTAAAACTGTACGTTCGCACATCTATTTATTTTTATGATATATTCTAATATATTTGCGTTGATATATAGATGTCATGAAAATAATTAAGAAAAGTAATTAATACTACACATAATTATGCGTAACGTTCTTAATGGTAGATAAAAGAGCATTTAGCGGTATTTAAGAGCATTTAACGTAGCATTCTCAACCACAAAAAATAGATTTTTAGTGAATTACGGTTACCATTATTAAAAGGTATTGAGTTGTGGAAATTGAAGTAACAAACATCTCCAGAAATGTGAGAAATCGCACATCTTTCTACCATGTGTATCGTATTCCTCAATACAGTTTAAATATAGATGCTGGAAAATTGATAGCGCCGTGTAATTAAATATTCTACAATATATACACTACACAATCAAATCAAATTCTCTCAAGAATTAGTTTTAAAGAAGGCCAAACGAACCGTTTGAAAGACCATTCACGAACATGTTTACCATCTTCCGTGACGGCGCAGGTTGCATCAGAAGCCCTCTCGTGCTCCAGGGCGTGGAACGCAGCTCCCACACCCAAACCGGTTGGCATGCGCGCCTGGCGATGCTTCTGCCTCTCAGGTAGACCACCTGAAACAGCAGTAGCGGGCGCGGCCACTCACTGGTGAGGTGGCAAGGGGTGAGTTCGGGAGGGGGCAGAGGGGAGGACGACGAGTGGCGGCGGCGCGCGGTCGCGCGGTGACTAGACTGAGGCACGAGACCGGAAAGTGATGACGCGGCGTCTTCAAGGTCACAACACGCGGAAGCGACAGCGGTCAAGGCCCTGGAAAGTGACAGCGCGCTGCTGCCGCGCCACGTTATCTCTCGCAGAACCTTAGTGTCTCACTCGGTTCCACTCAAAATTAAATTGGTGTTACGCGTATTTATATCCGTTTCGTTTGTAATTTGCACAGATTTGCAGAAGGAAGTAAGAATTGTGATACTCTTGTTTCAATTCTAAATTCCATTCCTTATTCTATTTGTTAAAGTTTTTTCAGAAAATGACCAATGAATTGTTTTCAAAATAAGCTTTTGCAGCAGTGGCAAAATCAGTGCCACTGGTTACATTGCTCGTTAGTTTTCATTAGTAAGGTTGACTGGCTCGCGAAATATTCCAGGTTGAAAATAAAAATATTTCAAATTCCAAGAGAACAAGATCGAATAGGGTCAAGTACCAGCTCACCTGGGACCAAGGCTGCTCCATGGGGGCGACATGAGCCCATTGCTTCCCAAGATAATGTACAGATTTAATAGTTATTTATGCGCCAAGGACGTTATAAGGGTTCTAATGATCGAGCGGCGACAAAAAGTCCCCAGGCCAAAGGGCCTCGGGGGTTTCCTAAACCGCGGTCCCTAGAACCATTTAACACCCGTGTTACATTGATGATTTTATGTTTTACGTAATTTTAATGATTCAGATGGACTTATTTACATATTAACTAGTTGTCACCGCGACTCGACTTCTTTTCATATTTCTCTCTCATAATTCTCTCCATAAGAGAACATGTAGCACCATTCAACTGTTTTTATATTTCCCTCATAACCACGATCGTCTCGATTCAGAGAAGTTATGCAGAGTATGTCGAAATTCGTATCGGAGGCAAGAAGATTCAATAACGAACTATACTGTGATTTTTTTTTTTAATTTCAATGTTTTAAACGTTGGCTCAGAGTTTTAAGTCAAATTACTTCTGTTCGAGATATTAATAAACGTATTATTTAGATGTTTCATTTCGAATTTTCTTAACATTTAAATGTATAAATAGAAAGTAGAGTATAATTTAAATAGTCATTTCCATAAATAAATTCAATCAAAACATTTTCTTTAATTTCAACAAATGATTCCTACCTTTAAATAATTTCTTAAGACGCTCTTGTCTGGTAGTACTGCATCTTTTTGAATACAAAGAAATACATGTACCTGAGTATAATGTTTACTATTGCCAAATGTCATTTTGAAATTCACGCATTCTCCGTGAGCTCAAAGTTATGCGCAAACACTGCTCTTTCTTAGGACAGAGAGTACTATATTTCGTAATCATTTCTCCTCGCTACTTTTAACTTCTCACTCGTAACTTTTAGGACAGAATACAAAAAGTGTTCCTTTCAATATCAAAGACAAACAAGTCTTACGGCTATGGTTATTATAGACACAATACTCATAATAAATGTAAATCATCAATGTAAATGTTAATCATGAAATATAAATTTCATTGTTAAGCTATGTCAAAAGTGTTGTCCAACTTATATGAACTGGAATCTCGGAAGCAATTTTAACTTCACTTTGTATTTCAACACTTAAAACGTGTGGACATCGAATAAGTTAGTTATAAAATTGTTTACTGAGAGTTATAAAGTTGCTATGAGTTGGCTATGAGTTAGTTATAAATTTGCTTGATTATTTTAAACTGCGTTTTCCTTTCATTCAAAAAAGAGTATTAATACAGATTAATAACACTTACGCTTTTTTTGGATTGAAATAAAATTTACACTATTATATTTCTTTGAAACAATTTTTACTGTTTTGACGTTAAATTAAAAGAAATAAGCTTTTAACCCCCCCCCCTGTAATTGCCCAAACTCAAACGCTGTAGATAATTTTGAGGTAGTACAAAACGAGATCGAGGCAAAACAGGCGACGAGTCAGTAATTTTTGAAAAAGATAAAACTGCATCTCTTGACGACCGAGCGTTGTACTAGCTTTTATTACATTATGTCGCTCCCTTTTTATAGAGTACTGACTACAAACAGAAAAGTGGAACTGTGGGATTCGTATGGAATTCAAATGGTTTCGTAATGAAATGTGTTCTTTAATCGTAGGCATTGTTTATTTGACAGTTTAAAATGAAGTTGGAGCTGGGTGTCAACATCTGTGAGTCAATGTTTGAAAATAATTTACTTTGAAAAGTACACTGAAAATAATAAAGAATCAAAA